AAAGTTTTATAATTATATTAAACTTTTATTGTAGTTGTACATTTAATATGTAATTTGTATTATTAGGAAATATTGTAAAAAATAGATTACAATATCTTGAGAGGTGGAAGAGTGAGGTGTTTCAGTCATTTTTGTGGCTTGGCGAGCCTCTACTCTTCACCGTCTCAAGGTTGGCTATCGTGTACTATTTGCTGTGGCTCTGAATTACATTGTGATGGAGATATCATCCAACCACTTATTTAATAATATATTTATATTTTCCTTCGAAGTATGTTAATAATGATTTCACTATCAGCGAGATTTCTTTTAAACATTCCATAAATGTTATTTTAATTATGAATATTAATGGCTTAGACCTATGGGCAAGAAATGGGAAGAAAATTAGTAATGAAGAAAAATCAAGACTATATAAAAAAAAAAATCATCATTGTTTTTCAATTTTATTTGAAAAAAAATGTAAAACTATTTTACATCTCTAAAAGATATTCACCAAAAAATAATATTTTATGAAATAATATAAAATAAGATTTTATGTTAAATCTTTATGTTTCATATTTCCAATACAAACTTCATTTTTCTTCAAGACTTAAAGAAGCTGGATTTGCCTTAATAATGACTACATTTAAATTATTTATGACGAAAACTTTGAATAGTTATATTGAACCATGGAAAATGCTGTAAAAGCCGAAATGTAGCTCTAATATTTTTTTTTTAATATCATTTGAGAGATTGACTGGATTTGTTAAATATAGTTAAAATATTAAAAATTCTTACTGTTTAGGTGTAATGTATACGTTTTCAAACTGCTAATTAAATGTTGTATATTGAATTAAACTAAACATAATACAAATATTTTATTTTCATTACCTTAATCACTATCACATTTTTTCGCATTAATACTACGTACGAATAAAAAAACCATTCATTATTGTAAAATTATTTATTTATTTATTTTATTGTATTAGTAATAATTACCAATTACAAAACTGTGCATACTTTTATTGCGCAGTAGTTTGTTATTTCAAATTAAATAACCCTAACAATAAAAGAAAGATACACATAAATTTTGAGGATTTTTATTTTTATTAATTTTTTTTCTAATTATCTTAAATCACATTCTTGGGGCCGGATTATTGAAAGGTGGGCTTTTGATTTCATGGTGGCTTGATTTTGCCACGTCTTCTCTCCTGCTATCAAAATTCAACGTTTTTATAACAGTATTATTGGGTTTCATGTTTCGAAATAAATGTAATCATCTCATGATATTTATCCCTATTTCTGTCCCTAAACTATCTTCATTAGTGACCAATATAGAGTGTATGAAACCTTCAATAGGACACCATTTTGAAACGAAATGGCTGTTGATGTCTTGTTCTAAGGAACATTCTAGGGTGGAGCCAACTTAAAAAATTGTGAGCTCGGTAGTCTCAGAGAAAAGCGTCGGACGGCAGACGCATCGAATTTTTTCGGATTCAGCATTTCTTAAAACATAAAATTGCAGTACGTTATAAAAGAAAATTTTTTCTAATAGATAACAAAAGCTCGTTATTGAAAATAACAAACCTTAACTGTGTTACTGTGTTTTAAACTATTATAATATATTTTATATAGTGAAAGCTCTCTCCCACCCAAGGTAAAATAGAACCTTGTGTTATGAAAAAAAAAATTAAAAAATTATCTTTGAAAGTATTGTTCGTGCAATTGCATTTAATAGTACTTCAAGAATCACTTAAACATCATTTCATTTAAATAGTTTCTTTCTTTAGTAATTTTCGTAATATTAATAAAAAAAGAAAACTTAGGCGCTGAAGCCCCCCAAATTAAATCCTGGATCCGTTAGTGCCTTCAAGGCTAGTAGTTGTACAGACATTTTTTTGAAATACGGTTTTATGAAAACGACTTAAGCAACTGTATAGTTTAAAAATTTAAACTTTATTTACTTATCTGGAATATTTAACGAAAATATTTTGACTTGATTACTGTATCAGATTGGATTGAAATGGAGTGGAAGAAGTGTTTTTATTTTGCTCCAGTGTAATGATAGATTGCGTGAAGGTTGTGCAAGGCCACGGCCATATAAATAGAAGTGCAACTGACCCATCCAAGTCATTTCCCTACCGGCTTTTTTCGTGGCAGGTGTATTGCTGAGCTTCATCTGTGAAAGGTAACTACTTTTTTTTATTCAAATAATTAAAGTACTTCATTTTTTATGCTTTTCTTTGAAGATTTTTGTATTTTAAACAAACTTTTTTTATATTCTTTATATTTATCCAACTTAAGTGCTGTCAAGGTGTACTAATGTCTAATTTGAAAATTGAATCAATTGGAAACTATGATACTAGTTTTACGGATTTCATCAACTGATTTATTAACCATTTTATGTTGCTTTGGCTTAGATAAAATATTTAATAGTAATTGTAAGGCTTATGCTACGTTTCAAATTTCAAACCAAAACAACTTACAAATTATGAATAATTCTCAAAATTAATATTGAAAAATGATTAATATGAAAAATTTGTTGGATATGGATTTCTATTTTTTATTTCTTGTTTTGTATATTGGTACCTAATTTTTTATTATATTTATTGATTTAAGAAAAAAATATTTTATATTTTTTAATTGATTTTAAATTCCTTTTCATAACCAACTCCTGGTTTGGCAGTTTAATAGATTTGAAGGTTTATTTTATGTGGCCTGATCCAAGTATCTTTCACACAACATAGTTGTTTTCCCCCTCGAAATGGGATGTTAGAACACAATAGTTTTTCAGACAAGTGTCATTTTAAAAAAGGACTTAAGTCCTCTTCCTATACATGATAGAAAATAAAATTCTGATTTATTTTAAATAAAACATGTACCATTAGATTTTGTTAAAATAATATTCATAAAGTGGAAGTATAGTAAACGAATAAAGTTGGTGAATTTTGAATGTGAGTTAATGACGTAAAAGCTATTGAAATTTTATGTATTTAATTTTATTTCTTCTTCTTCTTTAGCTTCCATCTTTAGTGCCTCTCAGTGTAGAGGAGCATTCAGCCAGGAATTCCATTCTTCGCTAGTTTAATTGTATGACTTTGAACTCCCTCAGGAGTGTGGTAGGCATAGCCTGTTATTAAGGATAGAACATACAAGATGGTGAACTAACATAATGAACATCATTAATCAATCTTGCAGTTGGCTTGAAAATGGCGACATAGCTGAATCTTTTCCAGTGTAAAAGAGAAGAACATAAATACAGCCTAAACCTTTATTATGTATATATACATAAGCAATTAAGAACTAATTAAAATAAATAACTAGATAAAACAAAAAAAAAGAATAATGATAAAACTAACAATATAAGTTATTGTAAAAATTGTAATAAATCAGAATTTTATTTTCTATCATGTATAGGAAGAGGGCTTAAGCCCTTTTTTAAAATGACACCTGTCTGAAAAACTATTGTGTTCTAACATCCCATTTCGAGAGGGAAAAACAACTATGTTGTGTGAAAGATACTTGGATCAGGCCACATAAAATAAACCTTTAAATCTATTAAACTGCCAAACCAGGAGTTGGTTATGAAAAGGAATTTAAAATCAATTAAAAAATATATAATATTTTTTTCTTAAATCAATAAATATAATAAAAAATAAATAAGTAGATAAAACAAAACAAAATGGCTAAACAAATATATTGTGTAAAATAATAATAAGTTTTAATAAAGAAAGAATAATGATAAAAGTAACAATATAAGAATAAGTAGATAAAAAAAAAAAAAAAAAAAACGAAATAAAGCAAACAGGAACAAACTAACAAATAATATAATAATAATTAGTAATAAAGAAAGAATAATGAAAGTAACAATATATAGACGTCTATCAAATTACTTCCTGCAGCTTTACTTCTTAGAGAATAATAATTACCTTTATGGTTGCCAAGTTATTTTTATTTTGTAGTGTTTTGTAATACAGAATTTGTATATAATTGAGGTTTTAAATTTGATTTAGAAATTTGGAGTTATGTTTCTTGCATTCAATCTCTGTAGTGAATTAGTCTTGGCTCTTTTTTTTTTCTAATATTACTGTATTCTTGACGACCCATTTACTGGACTTCTTCTTTTCATAACCTTAACCAAATTATGGGAGAATTCTTAGTTCTCCTGAATACTAGTCCAATGTGTGTGGCATATTTCGTATCCTCCTTCCTCAGGACATGTCCACTCTAATACAGAATCAAAAATTAACCAAAATGAACACCAATTCCTTCGGGGCATCTTTTCCTCAAATCTCAGAAATTCGTCATGCCCATTTTATTTATGATTCCGCTTTTAAAATTTCGAGGAGGTAACAATTATACTTCTTGATTTTTGGCAATCCTTGTCAAGATTTCAGATTTTATAACTATAACACATCACAGGAAATACTCAACTTCATTAAAGTGAATTTTTTTTTTAACTTTATTTTTCAACTCACATTTATAAGAAATAACAACAACCAGCGAGTGTGCTATCGAGAAGAAGAATATGGAATAAGATATTGGTAAGCATGAGGAAAGTTACTTTTAAATTTGTACGAGAATTTGCAAGTATTTTGGCAGGAATAGAATCTTTATATTGTAGAAATTTAGAAGTGTACATGTTTTTCATTAAAAATATCTTTGATGTTATAAAGTGTATTTTAGTATAGAGAATTATAAACAACTCAAAGTTACATTTTAAAGTTGTTCAGTACCTATTTTTTTATTCTTTTTTTAAATAATTTTATTTTTACTCCAAATTTCTTAAGTAGTAATTGTTTTATTTGATTGCATTTTAGAAAAATTTACTTTAGTCAATGAATTAAGATTTTATGGTGATTATAACTCAAGAAAATATATGATTAATATGGACATCTTGTGTTTTTTTCAGTTTAATAAAAAGTTAATTAAATAATTTAGTAATATCCAATTTTTGTTCTAAATAATTCCTGATTCAGGTTATATATTAAACATTTTTATATCATAATTATTATTTCTGTGATATGACCATATTTTTTTTTATTTTTCAGATGTCACTTATACCTTTTCTGAGTGAACTAATTGATGAATATAGCCGACCTAGAAGAGAACCCTTATATGACCAGAATTTTGGCATCGGCTTGTTAACTGATGAAATTCTTCGACCAATGAACACATTAATGTCAATGCCCCTCAGGTGTGGATATCTGCGTCCATGGAGGAGTCTCGCTGCTTCTGATTCTGGAATATCTTCCATTCAAATGAATGAACATGAATTTGTAGTTAATTTGGATGTACAACAATTCAAACCTGAGGAATTAAAGGTGAGAGTTTCTGATGGATACATTATTGTTGATGGAAAACATGAGGAACGTTCTGATGAACATGGTTTTGTATCACGACAATTTACAAGGAGATATAAAATTCCTGAGAATGTTGATGAATCTGCTCTATCTTCAAAGTTGTCATCTGATGGTGTCCTTACTTTGAAAGCACCAAAAAAAGTAAGATATTTGTTTTTATACATCATCTATATATTTGACTAATAAATAAACTTCTAACAATCTATTATGAAAGGATGTTAATAGTTATATTGTACCTAGTCCTGTCATAAATATTGTTAAAGGAAATTCATAGAGATTTCAACAGAAAAATTACTTTTTTCAAGAATTTTATTAGAAAATAAAATGCATATCTATAGAAAGTAAAACAAAAAAGAAATTGCTCAAAATGTGCCCCTTGATACAGGCATTTAATCTCCGTGGCTAGTCATCAATAGCAGCAGGCAACACTTCTTGAAGAAAGTGCTCAACTGCTCGGACCAGAGATTGTTTGTGGCTTTCCAAGTTAGGGTGTGTGCATGCCGTCCTCTCCAGTTTGGACCAAACCCAATAATCTAGTGGGTTGAGATGAGGGCTTTCTGAGGGCCAATCCGAGGCAGAGATGAACTCTGGAATGTTAATTTGCAGCCACTTCTGAGTTGACCTGGCCTTGTGAGCTGGAGCGGAATCCTGCTGGAAAACCCAGTGACTTCCAGCAAACAGAGTATCATTTAAAGGATTGACAATAGGTTCCAAAATATCATCCTGATAGTTTTTAGCAGCTGTTATAACTTCTTTTTCACAAACATTGAGCTTTGTGGTGCCATCAAAGCAAACTCCTGACCAAATCATCACTGAGGAAGGGTGATGACCTCTTTCCACTCTTTCAATGACTTCCTGCGCTTATTTAAAGCTGAGTGCGTACACATCATTTTGTCGATTAAATTTGTCTTCAATTGTAAAAATTTCCTTATCGCTAAACAGAATCTTTTGATGAAGACCATTGGTGTAACAGCCAGGGAGAACTTTGCATCTATCCACTCTCATTTTTTTAGGGAAGTGGTTAGCCTTTGTCTTGTCTTTCTTCGAAATGCACCTATCCTAAGGTCAGTTTTTATTATGCGAGACATTGACCTGACAGAGATTCCCATTTCACATGATTTGTAGTTTTCGAATGGGGTTTCTTCTAATTTCAAGCAGCCACTGCTCTCACTGCATTGGTCGAGGCTTATCACATACAGATATGGTCTAATTCTATCTATTTGTAGTGAACATCGGCTGATACCCAAAGGTTTCCAGGTGTTGAAAATTGCTGATCTATATTTTCCAACTTTGTGTAAGGTGATCACAGCTATTCGATTTTCTTTATCACCCCACTCCATGTAAACTGAGTGAAAGAAAAATATAAACTAATTGGGATTATTATCCTGATATGTAAAGAAAATAACCTGATAGAGGTAAGGATTATCTAAATAATACCCAAGGATGTAAACAAAGTTCAACTTTTGTAATAGTATTTATGGCAGAACTAGGTATTGTAAAATGTTCCAAGAAATGTATGTTTATAAAATTAAATTTTGATTCTTTTCAGGATGTACCACAGGTTGAAGGTAGAGATATTCCTATCACCCAAACTAATCAACCTGCAGCAAAGCCAAAAGAGGCTGAGAAAATGCAGCACTGAGCTTGAGCTTCTTAATTTCATCATTTTACATTTTAGTATGACAGTTCATTCTTGTTTTCATTTTATCGACACATTTTTTATAAGTTATAGAAACTTTTATAATTGATATTGCACATTTTATAATTTTATAATGTTTTTTCTTTTTTTTCTTTTTTTTTTGTATACTTTTGGAAATTGGAGAACAATTCAAATGTTTCTATTCATTTATTTATTTTATTACAATATAGAAACTAAATACACTATTTGGTCACTATAAACCCTCTCCTGGCTTCCAGACATCCAATTTGTTTTCCTTTAAGGATATTTTTGAGGCTATCCTCCCAAGTAATTCTTGGCCTTCCGGTAGGTCATTTTCCTGTTGGTTTAGCCTCCATAGTTTTCTGAACGGCATTCATATCCTCATCACATGACCAAACCATCAAAGCTGTTCTTTCTCAATTATGTGATTGAGGAGTTCACTTTTGGGTGTAGTCCCATATTGTTGTGTTATTGTGTTATGTATTGTAGTTTATTAAGATTGTTGTATTATTATGCACATATGGAAATAATATTATTTAAATATCTATTAATAGTTGAATAATTATATTAAATTTTGGCTTTCATAAATAAAACAATTTATTGATTGATTAATCCAAAAATTAAATTAAATTTGAAATTATTGCCCAAAGACTGCACCATAAATCAAGAAAGCTGAAAAATATTAATCATATCTATATTTATATACATCATTATATATTATCATTGTTTTATGTGTATATATATATATATATATATATATATATATATATATATATATATATATATATATATATATATAATTATATATTAATCATATTTATATTTACATTTTATATAAATTTATCTGTCTTGCGGAAACCTCTCATTTGACCAGCTCTGATGAAGGCCTGAACTTTGAACATAAATATGGTCGGCAAAAATAAAAAACAAATTTATCACCCATCATGATATGTAGAATAGTGGACTCGCTTCCTTCAAAAATTTATCTTTACTTTTTTTTTAATGATCACCTCAACCATTCTTCTCTGTAACTAATCAATCATATTAGTTTAGCATAGTAGTTTAAGGTCGAACTAGAGGCCTTCAGGTGTATTTTAATTTACATAAAAATTTTAATTTTTAGTCACATTCTAGTTTAAAACTTTTATATTACATTAGGACAGTAGGAATGCATAGGAGCTTGACAGTTTGCTTCAGATCTGTTGGTGCTACTCTCTAGTGTCGCAAACAAGAACTGTAATAGTTTTAATAACTGCCAATAAAAGTAAACACTACTACAAGCTGGAAGAATTTGTCCTGGTGGTTATGCTCCTTTAAACACCTACAGTCCTAATACCAAATAAAATTTATGAGTCACATCATGACTTAAGAATCCTTGGCTGGTGCTGGCCTCTTGTGGCTTTAACTGGAGTTACTATTTACTTGCGTTTTGGTTTGTGCTGCTATCTTTTGATGATTTTTATAATCATTAAGGTATATAAGGTCATTTTTAAAAATTATTAATTAATTACTTTAATTAAATAAACATAATTCAAACATATAATATTTATTCTTCATGAAAATACCTGCCCTCTAGCTTATATTGACAACAAGAAAATTCTTCAAATGGATACTGTACTTTATCTTTGACTTACCTTTGACAGAAGGATGGCATGGGGCCGACATGTAAAAATAAAATTTAAAACACTTGACAAACTACTAAAACTACTTTACCTACTTTTTTCTAAATATACAGAACTGAAACTGAGATAAAACAAAATACACACACATACTTACTTAAACCTATATGGTCATGCACATCACGGATATTAAGTAATGTGCTTTAAGTTAAATCCATCAAAAACTCCATCAATCCATCAAATACTTTTTATAATATGTAGGAAAAAGAGCTTACTTCAATATTCAAGTATTTCATCTATCCTCATGACAGCATTTATTTATTTATTCTTTACTAAATAATGTTAATTTATTAAATTGTGTTTCCTTATTGACTGTACCATCTTCTCTTTGATTAAAAAAAATATATATATAAGAAAAAAAGTGAACTTCTCAAAAATCAAATGCAAAAATGTTAGTTGAAGAACAAAAAGAGACAAAATAATGATGTAAATGTAATAGGTATGTGCTAAGATTATGGGTAAAGAGAAAAATGGGTAAAGTTTTCAAAGTTCTGGTGTATTTCTGAATTGGAAAAAACAATAGAAATTATTACATAAAATTATTTATAAATTTAATAATAAAGGAACTCCACACAATCCCAAACTATGACTTTCAATATGGTGTTATTATAGCGTAATACAGAACTAGAATTTCTGATGTTAAACAATTGAAGTAGAAGAAGAAGAAAAATAAATTTTATTCTTGGACTAAGAATGACTACAATGTACAATTTAATGACAATTGTTTGGCATTAGAAATAATTAGGAATAAATTAAACTACAAGGTTATCTAGATCTAAAATTAAAATAGAGAAAATGCACTGGTAGACATATGAAATTATAGATAAATTCTGATGTGCGAGTTCACATATTTGTACACATTAATAATGTGGATGATATATAATTATCTCTAGGATAACATTAAATGCGACTGACAGGTGTAAAAAACGTGAACATTATTTTACACACATTCGGAAGATTGATTGCTGAGGAGATGGATAATAAATTATGTTTAAATTAGGCCAAGAATGAGGATTTGTGTATGGAGGTTGGTAAGGAATTCCAAATCAAGGTAGCACGTATGACACAGGATTTTTTAAATCATACAGTTCTATGAGAAGGAATGAACAAGTTTAGGGCTGGGATCTGGTGTTGAGCGAATGGACAGAGGAACAAGGAGTAAACAAATTGAGAGGGTAAGAGAGATTTTTTGTTGAAAAGATTCGAAAAAGGAATGCACCTAGGAAGTATTACCCTTGAAAGGTTGGATAGAGCCACTTCAATTTGGCATACCAGCTGGAATAGTGAAGTTTATAATTGTTTACAAGAGCCTGAATCAATACTTTTCCACTATTCAGGAAAGTTGATATGATAGCATTAACAGCTATGGTTAATGCTCGAGCTGTGATTTATAAAATGGAAGATTAGGCGTTATCTAATAGTAGCATTTTTTCGAGGTGGTGAAAAAAAATCTAAGCAATAGGAAAAAATAAGTTCTGCCTCACTCTTATTCCACACCCAATAGCTATTACATTCCATGATAGCTCAAAGTTATGAAAAATTGGCTCTCTGAACAAATAAAAAAATGTGATATGGTGTCCTTTACCTCCGGGTACAGATTTAATGACGAAGAAACAAATTTTAATAGCTTAAAGTTATTGAAAATCGCTATCTTGAAGAAATAAAAAAAAAATGTGACATGGTGTTTTTTACGTCTGGGATCCAGATGTAAATGACGCAGTAGACTCTTTTTAACCTTTGTTTGTTTGACAGTGCAAGGTGTTTGAAACATTAAATAAAAAATAAAAAATCTGCCTTGTCTATCACAAATTTTATTATAATTGACCCAGAAACAAATAAATATTTTTTTAACCGCAAATAAAATTTCGGTTACGATTTGCCGCCTCCCAAATTCTTCCACTGAATGCAAGTGCCCTTTTTGCCTTAGCCCTCCTAGTTTGGGCATGCTTTAGACTATTCTACTGACGTTGCACTAATGGCCGCGTTATGATTTATTAATCGCTAGTTTCATTTTTGACATAGTAGAATAATTCTCTTGAACAACCTGGATGCCAATGTGTAGCCTCTGAGTGACTTGAATCCAAAATACTTTTTTCTACTAAGATTTCCAAAATAAATGTTTCTTTACAAACGAGTTTCCTTACGATATGGAATGATGGATTTGCGGGAATCAATGCATATTGATTATGTTTACCCCCCCCCCCTCCCCAAAAAATAATTAATATAGCTTTTTGAAATAATTAAAAATCTTAACTCAGTTATTTAAGTTGATTTAATAAAATGGAATGTAATGTTTTTTTTTCAGTTTTCTTGAGGCAAAAACTGGTGAAAATGATGGACCCAAAGTTTTATTTTATAAACTTCTAGTAACAAGGTAATAATACATATTTTTTATATATTCATAAATTAATTTTATTATATTTACATATTTTTCAAAAAAAAAAATCGTGCTTTTATTTAACTTAATTTTTTTAACTTACGTTAATAATTTGTTTTTCAAAAATATATGTAACGAATATTTCCGTTGAAAACTGAAATTCGAAATTTTTCATGATCGTAATACTTTTCCATACTATGTATTTCATATACAGGTAAGTCAAAGAAAAAACAAACCAAAACATTATAAAAGCAAGACTTTTATTTTAATTCTCAAACAAATTTGTTTTTTGTCCTATTCTGTGTTTATACATAAATATATATATTATTACATGGGCAAGTTTCTGAACTCAGCGCTGAGCTCATCGATTTCATCTTTTCGATCAGTTTAGAGACGAACTCTACGCCAACGATGAGTTAAGCGCTTAGATCAAGAACTTGCCAGATGTCAAGTATTTCATATGTACTGTCGATAAATGTACTTTTACGTTCTTACACGTATTAATATGCACATGTTCTTTTATTATTCGATATGACATCGATGGTTGTACAACTTTGAACTTATGAGTAAAGCTTTTATCTAATTTTATTTTTTTTAAATCTTTGATTGTATCAATTTTATGCATCATTATAATTTTCAAGGAATATGGGTTCAAGGATATACGATATTTAAAAAAAAAATATGACGGGTGGTAACACTGACATACTGCATCGCCATCTCAATCTAGTCTCAGCTGTAAGCAGCTGCACTTCACGTCTTATCAATTATCAATTCAGATATAACTGAAGTCTATTGCTGTTAATAAGGACTTAATTATTTCCAAATCTTTGAGAAAGCAACGAGAAATCTCCTCAGTTATTATGAAATAAGGTACTGACATATTTATTAAATTAATTAATTCTTGATTTATGAAATTAAAAAGTAAT